ATTAAGGCTTTATCCGGATTTTCCTATAAATTAAACTTCCTACTTATATAGCGAAGTACTAAAATATACTACACTAATCAACTCTATAAATATTTAAATAACCCCCTACTAAATTAAATAAATAAGAACTTTGTAGGAGAAATAGTCGGAGATTAAGAAGAATAGGAAATTAAAAGGATTATAATAATATAGTTAATTAATAGGAAATTCTATTACTAAACGGAATAGAAAGGCTAGGACCCGAATCCTACCTAGTACCCCATTAAAAATTTTAAAAATATACCCAATATATTTAAAGCCTTTTACAATACGAATCCGGAGAAGCCCGGCCTACTATATCGCCTACGTATTTAGAAAAACGCTTAAATAAAAGATTTAATATTAATAAATTATAAAGAAGATAATTTGCCGGTAGAAGGAGCGTAGGAAAGACCGTTAAGAAAATTAAATCGCTTGCGCAAGTAATAGGAAGGATAGTCCAAACCGGATTTATAAGAACCTATCGTATTAATATAAAGAATAATAATTCGTAGGATTAATTTAATAGCGTAGTAGCGGGAGTAAAGGCCCCTAAACTATATTATAGGCCACCCCGAAGGTACCCCTCCTTTACCTAAGAAATAATTATAAGGAGAAGATTATAAGTTCGAATTATATTAGAATTAAAAAATTTTTTTTTTGTTCTTTTGATTCTAAGGGTAGAATCCTTAGTAGAGGGGGGGTAATATTATAGCCCAAATCCGCTGGTCTATACCCGGACCCAGACAATAGCTATTCTATACGATCGTTGCAATACGAACAATTTAATTAGTTATAAATTAAATAAGAAGAGTAGTCTGGGCGCATCGGTTCTGGAGGCATATCTTCCAGCCCAGCTGCCTGTACAACTCTTACCTTTTGTTTTACTCTTTAATTGTAAATTCTATATTGAATATTAATAACGCTATAGCCCTGCCTCGCCCGTTACGTGCCTTCACAAAACCTAAATAAATAATAATAAAATAATAAAGAAAAAAGAACTCCAAAGAATAAAAATGCAAATATTTAGTCGGAAAAGGTAAGAATTGAATAATAATTAAAAAGTCTAATACATCGTTATTAAATTTAATATATTTCCCCCGTTAATAAAAGGAAGAAATGTAAAGAATAATAAGGTTGGTTTAAAATTAAATTATAGGTACTACTTATTACGTAAAAATATACTTTATAAGTAATAACAATAGAGAAAGATAAAGTAAATAATTAGTTACTAGATAGAGTAATAGTACGTAATAATTAACGATAATCTTATTAAAGGAAGCTAAAAATAAGAACTATTGTAAGCTTCAATCTGGGACCTTGTATACGACTTTACTGAGTATAAGTAAGATAGCTATAAGGTTAGTATAATATAAATTATCAATCCGTCAACCTTAACAAAGGTTAACAGGACGAGCAGTCTTATATGGCAGACTATGCGCTCTAGTGAGCGGTTGCTATAATAAGATAGAGCATCTAGGTATCCACCCAGAATGCCCCATAACAGAATCTATAATAATAATACGCTTTAACTTACTCTTAAATATATAAAACTACTATAAATAATAGGTATAGTAGAAGTATTAGTAGAAGTGTTTTTATAATATTTAGCTTTAATATTAATATTTTTAGTACTTATTCTAATTAAGTAAGTAGCGGATCCGCTAGTCCCGTATTCGGCCTTAAGCGTAGTTAAATTTATCGATAGACCGGCTAAGGTTTTTCCTTTAATATTCATTTTACTAAATATATTAAGTAGTTTACTAGGAATAGTAAGATTACTAAATAAATGATTTTTTATTATAATATTAGAATTACTTCTTTTAATATTAAGTATAAAAGTATTAAATTTAATATTAGCTCGTACTTTAATTTCCTACAATATCAATTCAATAGTAGGATAATAATATCTACTATTAAAATACTTAGGAACGTATATTTTGAATATTCTAATTATAATAAAAAATAGTAATATTTAGTATTATATTTAAATATATAGTAAGAGTAAGGAGGTAGTTAGACTAATTTGAGATTTAATTCTCTAAGTAATATAATAGTCCTCCTCCGTATTCTTAATATAGGATCGGACCCTCAATATAAATTGTACTATTAGCTTATAAACCGGGCGCGTAACTCCTACTACAATATCGACAAAGGATTGAAATACTAAGATTAATACTAGTTTCCTCTATATAATTATAATTAGTAATACCTAGAGTATTACTAGTAACGCTTAATATAGTACTAGATCCGTCTCCTCTTCAGGATTAAATCCCTTAAGGAAAACCCTTTAAGTAACCCTTATTATATTTAATTAACCTTAGATACGTATTAAATCCTCCGAATACCTTTTAATAAATTTGCTAAATCGTATAAAATTAATTCGCATCCGATTAATATTAGTAAAATAAATCAAACTACTAAAAGGTAAAAGCCTCGCTCCTATCCAAATCTACACCTCCTTTCCTTTACCTTTAATATCCTAAATTTAGTACTATACTATAACATTAGAAGTAGCCTCTATAATAAGCTACTCATCTATTTAAATTAAGTAGAAGAGTTTAGTATAGTATAAAATTAAAGCCGTCTCCCTTATACTTATCCTAATTTCCTTGTTTTTTATTCTTTAAATAATAAAAATCCTAACGATTTATATATTAGTAACGAATTGATTTATTTTATAGTAATGGAATAAAAATACTTCTGAGGTATTTTATAATCGGTTATTCAATAAGGAAAGTAAATAAAAGTATCGCCGTCGTTAAAAGGGTCGTTTTCAGTAATATATTTAATATTATCGTCAGATCGATACTAAATTCTTCTATAATAATCGAAAGCTCTAATATCGTAATTATCTGCATCTACCTATATAGGGTAATTAAAATACTGCTCGGACAATTTATAGAAATTATCGGCCCTCTTAATATTGGCTTCTATTTAAATAAATACTATGTTCAATTATTATTTCAGGATACAATTCCGGGGGAACGAAGAAATATTATATAAGTAAAGGATAATTTACAAATAAAAATAAAGAAGTAAAGAATTAATTCGATTCTAAAACTATAGAAACCACTTACTACGGTATTATAAGGAATTAAGACTATAGTTACTATACTACCTAATAACAAATTCGTTACTAATAGATTCGTTTTAAGAAAAGAATCCAGTAAGTAACGGATTCGTTAATGGAATTAATATATAGCGGATTCGTTACTAAGTAATAGATTCGTTTTAAGGAACTACGGTTAATTGCAACCTAGGGCTTATAATAATGAATAATATTATTAAACAAGAACTTCTAGTTATAAATAATAATTAATTGAGGAGGAGAGTTTATTAGTATAACGGATCCTCCTATAACTATTTATACTTACTCTATACTGTGTCGGGTTGCGCCGAGCCGAATCCGGCTCGGTATAGTCTAGTATATATAAACCTAGGGGAGGCGGATTCGTCGCCCAACACTTTGCGTTGGGTTTAGTATTAGGCTTAGTATCGGGCTTAGCATCGGATTTAACGTTGGATTCAATAGGTAATTCGATTATTTTTAAAATAGAAATTGGTTTTTAGTATTATCCTAAATTAGCCTTTTTCTTTTCTTTTTACCTTATTTTCCCTTTTAATATTAGGGCCTTGGGTGCGGGCGAGTGGCGGCGGCGGACTCGGTTGGGATGCGGACACAACGCGGCGAAGGCAGTAGCGTAGTATAAGGAAGAAAGAAGGGAAGGAAGGAGAGAGCCGGGTCGAGGTTTCCTTTATAGAAATATTTGGGCGGCCCGGGATAACGTAATTAAGGAAAAATAGAATAAAAGACCGCCAACTATAGAGAAGCTATAGTAGGAGGATAAAGGAAGGACGGTTACAGGCCGGAGCCGGGTCGGCTACGCATATAATACAAGTTTATAGCCTCGGTTATAACAGTGAGGTTATACCGAGAGGAAGGAAATTGGGAAGGTACGGAGCCAATACGGTGCTATTGCAATAGTAAAGCGGAGGGTTTTCACCCGGCTATTACGGTACGGTTTTTCCCACCGACTACGAGCGAAGTAGCACCGCGTGCCTATTGGGCGGACTATATATATAGTTAGCGTGTATAAGACTAATAATAATAATAATATTAGGGTCTAATAATATTTAAATAGATTTAGCGCTATTACCCCTAATAAGGTTATTCTAATTTATTTATAATAATAATTCTTCTTTATTTATTTTAAATACTAATAATACTCTATTGAATAATATATTATTGAAAAAATTGGGTAGGAGGTTTATAAAATCGATTTTAGTATCCTATAATTGAAAAATTTCTTTATAATTAATCATAAAATCCATTTTAGTAATATTAGTAGTAATATTCGTATTATTCGCAGTAGTAGTTTCCTTTAATATTATTTAATAAAAGAACCTCTAAAAACTACATTCAAGGGGTAAATCGGTTTATTTAATTTCCATATATTTCATTTTTTTTCGCCGAATAATTTAACTATTACTATACTACTAATTTTGCACCACTTAGAGACTTATCGTATTGCAATACCGATAACTCAACGAAAATTATAGTAAATTTAAAACGGATAGTAGAAATCTCTTTATAAATAAAATATATATATATAATTCAATTTACATTATAGTATATCAAATCATAGTATTACACTATTATATTATACTATTGCCATTCAATGTTTGGTTTAACGCGTTTCTACTACGATACTTTAATACTTATTAAGAATCGAGAAAAAAGAATGGAATTTTTATATTGTTTTTTTCTATCGTCTCTATTGGGGCGGTGCTACCGCCCAGGCGGCGCTCTCCGATACGGGTAGATTCAGAAGGTACGTCTCATCATGTCTTCCGGATACTCGATCCCGTTCGAGGAGGGGAGACCCACATATTTGTGGGGCGGGTCTGCTGAAGCGTTGTCGATGGAGGTTAATGTGATAGAGACTAGCCCAGCATTCTGCCTCGTCACTGTGCTTCACCTACCTACTATCTACTAGCCGGCATTGCCTCGTCTCACCGAGAAATCGCATTATCCGCCTATCCACTTCATACCTCGACACAATACCACTGCTTCCACGGTGCCTCGCTGCTTTCACAGGAGGACCAGTGTCCCCTCAGTCGGTCTGTCCTACCAAGGCAGCAAAGCCTAGTATAAAGCCATTTGGCCTACAGCCTCAGAGGACAACCACGAGAACTCATGACTCATGTCACCAGCATCTCCAACATACAAGGCAACCCAGGCAGCAGTCTGGACATTGGTCAACACTTGGCTTGTAAGGCCTAGGTGAGGCTTTTAGTTAGGTACGATCTACAAGCTGCGATGCCTGAGGAGCGACGCATGATGGTGAGCGGTAGCTACAGGTACATACCGTGATATCACTTCATGCCTCCTCCAGTAAGCTTTCCCGTCTTCCGTGTTGCTCGGTCTTTGATAACTGAAATACGGCAGGTACTTATGGCGCCCATAGCCAGACTCCCGAATGCCTGACCATGGGCCGTGTTGTTTTGCAGTCCTTGATCACCTCGTTGTAACTTTGCTGCCACCACCGTGCTATGCTGGAAATGAGGCTCGGTGACCACCGGCTGCGCCATCCAGTTCTGCCTACTCCGTCCTCTCTCCTCGACTTCAATCTCCAAGCGGCCGGATTGAGTCATGCTGTTTCGTTCTTTGGCGTTTCCTAGCTGTCTTGTGGAGAGAGCGATGGAAGGAATAAAGGCCAGTGCCTACCATTCCGCCTAAAACCCAACGAAGTGTTGCTGCATACACCTGGTCCGTTGACAAAGCAATGCGCAATCTGCTTCGTTTTATCTGGTCAACTCCGGATGGCCAACTTGCACTCGAAAAACCAAGCTCTATATAATCAGATCTATTCACTGCCGTCCTTACCAGATCCGATCTCTTCCTTTGTCTCGAGAAGCAAGTTCTTTTGAGCCTCTACAAGTTGATCAGTATCTTCTTACCAAGTCTTCTTTTCCTCTTTAAACCACCAAAGTACGCCAAAGCACCTTTCTGTCCGACGACCGAAATGGGCGGCAACCAAGAGACATATATTAGTAATAGCGGGAGCCGGCGCCCCTACTACAATCCACGCACTACATCACCATCATCGAGCAGTAACTCAAGGTCCTCAGCCAGTTCTGTTTATTACAGGTCAGGCACTGCAGGTATGTGTACTTTCAACCTTCAGTTGGTATCATAGATAACAAGTGCTAACTTCGGATCAGATAATCACAATGTTACCACTCAAAAAAAGAGCGACGTTGTTGTTATCAATCACCACCAGCCGAATCCAGCCAAGGACGAGCCTCGATCGTCAGACTATTATAGAAGATGACAGCAGTGCGGATACATCCGTGGCTATTTCTTTCTATGGATTACCACTTGGTGTCCATGTCTCAGTATGCAGGAAATTGTACGATATCGTTCTGTATCATTACCAGACGTGGGATTACTTTTGGGTTGTGGTCTTTCATAATGTTGACTGAAGTTTTCTCGTTATGGTAGGAGTTAGTGTAGAGTATTGGATAAATGAAGGAAGACGGTCAGTTACTTGGAGCTAGGTCGGTCTCATGGTAGAAAATATATTTCTTGCATCTATAAGTTGTTTCTGCGCTGCCCCAAACAATGCGTATTGCACTTGTATGAATTCTCACACTCCTACTTTCTGGTTAATGTGCTACGTTGCATTGCGTGTTGCACATCGTCTGAGCCTCAAAGTCCTAGCATTGCGGAAGAAGTGATGGGAGCTACATAAGGAATTCGCTCAGGCTTGACATAACTTGAGGAGGTATGCTGCGGAACTAACGTTCACAATCATCCAAGCCCAGTATATAAAGCATCTGTAATAGAGACGCGTAACGCTGCACAGCGGGATGATCAAGAGTGCATATACTGAGAGTCGCTTCAAAACTGTATAGAATTGACCTGGAACGTCCTGTCTTATGTATTAGCTATGCCGAGTGGAGTTCATCCCTTTGCCATCAGTGGTGGCACTCACCGCACTCAAACTGTTACTACTGGTAGTTGATTGGTACCTATCAGTCTGTTCTCCAGCCCAGACGGCAAGAGTGTTGGAGGTTCGACTCAGATGCAGGTAGACTTGCGCGATAGACTTGATGCTGAACAGCTGCTTGATTGATTGATAGATCTCTTAAGGTTGGATGTCTGCTCTGGAGTCCCGAGCCCGACAAGGGTCGGACCTAGCAGGGTCCCTCCTGCCTGACATGACAGGCCAGGGCGAACACGACCTCTGAGCAAAAAATAGGTATATAGAGGTATGTTTGTTCAAACTACTGCCCCTGAGGATGTGGGTAGTAGAATCAATATTTTGATCACCTTCTAGCTATGCGTCATCCCATTCTCGAAGCGATTGTTGGATTGTTGCGTCGTGGATGTTAATCAAGCACCGCTTCCTCTTTTCGTATGTTCTTCCTTGATAGCATCCTGGTACTTATTGTCAAGGCGAGCGGGGGTCTTCATGAAGGACCCCTTCTTTGATCAATGCTTCTGGGGAGGGCCGGTGGGCGATTCTTTCGTTCAAAGAATCAGCACGCATATGCTTTTCGAGCTGGGACCGGGGCAAGTTAGGATGTCAGCACAGTCCAAAAAAGCCAACCTTGACATGACAGCATTACCTCTTTCTGTTGTGCTATGAGCCCCGGAGCTGCGTTTGAGGCAGGAAGAATGTTTTCTGAATCAGGACCATTTGTGTAGATTAGTACATCTTGTTCGAAAATACGTGCAACTATGCGTTCCGTTGCAAGGACTCGAAGCAAAACATCATACTTTTGACCAGTTCCTGGCGCACCGGACGATGTTTCAGGTGCTGTTCGAGAGAGTTCTTGCGCTGAGGGTCGGGACGGCTAGGAGAGATAGGAGTCTCGTCGATAGCAGGAGCCGGGTTGACATTGTCGCTCGAGTCGGCCATGATGTCGAAGATATAGTCACCTTCAAGGGTTGGAAGTCGATTGTCTGTGGCCGTTGTATCTTTCAAATATCATTTTCTGCACTCAGTAGAACGAAAGCGCCAAAGTCCGGCTTGACCCGTGGATGACGATGGAAAACGGCTTTATATAGCATGGCGGCCCCCCTACATGACCTTCAAAACAGCTGATGCTTTTGGTTACAGCAAGCTAGTTCCTCGCTTCCACGGAGCCAATCTGTCTTCGTCTGCCACATGGATCGCGGCACGTAGACAACCAATACGGTGTCATTTACCGGCCTTGGCTTAGTGTTGTACACGATTGGATCTTCCAGGTCGCTCGCTGTCACCTGCACTGTGCCTAGCGAAGTAACAGCCTGAGCTACTTCACCCCGCACCTGCAATGAATCCTCGATACGTGCACACAGAGCACGGTACTGCTTGATAGGTACTCCCTACCTGCATTAGGGACGTGTACAGTAGTCCAAACGCACGACCTGGAGGTAGGGGGGGGGGGGGGGGGGGGGGGGGGCCAACGTGCTCGATTGTTTTTTGTTCCGCTACTCAAAATGCGCAGTGGCTCCAGCCCGGTAATAACTAACAATGATGCAGTGAGCTCGAATGACAGCTGGGTCCAAAATGTTCACCTCTGAGCAGGGAGGCCGAGGCAATGGGATGTTGAGCTAAAGAGTAGGAGTGGGTCAGGGTTATAGTTATGGGCGGATAAGTACTGTTAACCCTGTATATAATGATTAAGTCCGTTACCGAGGTCTTGATTGTAATACCCAGGTTATTATTACTATAAGGTAGGCTAGTTTAGGCTTCTAGACCCATTGTAAGACTCGTGATAGCTAAAAGAACCCACCCCGGGTTGTTACGAGCTGTAACAGCCTATTACTAAACGTTTCAGAACTGAACTGAACCCCCTAGGTATAATGATTTTAGTGCAGCTCGGTTTTGAAATTAGATGGAAATTGTAATACGAAGCTTGATCGTTACTCTTATACTAATCTACACTATTACCAAAATATTAAGTATTATAGTTAGAATATTATTATATAGCTAATTGTTATGTATAGTGTTAATAGTACTAGATTTCAAAGGAAACTAACTACTAGCTTGAGCTTGTCCTAGTATACCTCTACATACTTAGTAGTACTTCTATATAGTAGTTCTATAGGTAGGTACCTCTAAGCAGTCAGCATGCTACTACTAGTCTAGACTTCCACCTAGATAGCAAAGTGAATAAATATTATAATCTAATACTAGAAAGTTTGTTAGCTTAGTTCTTGCCCTATATTTTAGACTAGGGGGGTTATAGGGGTTCTAATTAGCTAGAAGGGTCTTAAAGTAGAGTAGAACTAGCTCAGACTAATTTCAGTATAGAATTAGTAACTTTCTTATATATAAAGACTTTTTTCTATTCTACTCTATAGTATTATCTACCCTCAAAGGGTGTTATCTAGTGGATTTAGTCCTACTTATACCTACTTATACCTACTTATACCTACTTTTCAACCTCGATTTAGAAGGTACAGATAGTTTCTACCCTTCCCTGTGTCGCTTTGAGTGCAATTCTTAAAATTAAAAATTGGAGTAGTAATTTGGATAATTTGGATAATTTGTATTAATTACTAGCATTCAAAAGGGTACGTATCTTAAATTTAAGGTTTGCCTATTATTTACCTATTATTTACTTAAGTACTTACCTTATTGCGGCTCGTATACCTATACTAAAAAAATTTCTAATTAGTTAGTGGCTTCTCAAATTTCTTAGTCCTACTTTCTGTTTCCCGCTTCCCGCTAACTATTCTATAGTACTTCGAAAATTCCCCTAGCTTATATTACTCCGCCGCCTTCAACCTCTTTTTCTACTATTAGAATTACATTCTCTACATTTACCTTAACTATAAGAATTCTAATTTCAATATAAATACTCTTACTAATATAACCTTCTATTTCTATTTAAAAATAACCTCCCTCCTCTACCGTTATCTCTTACTTATAATAATAATAATAATCTTATTCCCTATACTATATAACTATAGTACCTTATTAGTATAGGGTCCTTCTCCAATTCCCTAGAGGGGAAAACTATACGGCGTTAAGCGCCGCTGGATAAAAACCCCTAGTTACGTTTCGGTTGTAAATTTCTATACTATTCCTACTTTATTTATTGAAACGCCCATGCCCTCACGAGAAGGCGATGTCCGGGGCCCAAAAGTGTCATAACTGTCAAAGACCCTACACTAGAGGTCGTAGTACTATAGGCCCCACATCGTCGTAAGGAAGGCGCGGCGGTTCTATTTATTAACGGTTAGAATATAAAAAAAATACCCGTCTTAATATCCCAAAAGGGAAATTCTAGCGCTAAATAAGACACAGTTTTAATAATACATACAGACAGTGCTGTATTTCAATATGCTTAGACAGTTATATTTCTACGTTAATTATATATATTAATTCGTAAAAAATACTAAGTAATAGAATTTAATTAATTATATTTCCTATATTATTTATATTAAAATATAGTATAAAATATAGCGTTATATAATATTATAAATAAAATCCTGTTAAATAATTACGTACCCGTTTTACAATTCTATATACAATTATAACGCGGGTTCCCGGCTATCTAATACTCCCGGTAAATTTAGTACTCCTACTAAATAGTAATTTAATTAGCACTCCCAATAATTCTATTATTCCTAGTAATACTATTATTTATATTATTACCAAGTCTACCACTTTCAATTAACAATACTAACACTTTTTTATTAATACTAATACCCTTTTATTACTATAATTATCGCGCAATACTAGGAATTATCTAGAATTATCGATACTTATTAATTTGAAGCCTTCAAATAATTATGTAACTGTCTACACTATTACACAACTATTTATACGATTATTAATAAAGTATATTCAATTATCCGTCACTTCTTTATTTACGAGCCCCACTGTAGAAGGTATAATACTACTATTAATAACCACTATTTTAAATTATTCTACTACCTTCTATCTTTTAATATTAATAAAATAATTATAATACTATTTACTTACTATCAACCCTATTATAAATCCGATTATTAATTAAACCGACGGAAATTTCTAGTACTTATTAGCTCCTTTTTAAAAGGGTATAAGAAATTAACTCCCCCCGCCTCTTTCGACTATCGAACTCTCTCCTCTTTAATATACTTAAGACCTTATATTTAAAATTAACTTTAATATTTAATTTTCAATATTAACTTTAATACTATCCTATAATAATTTGGGTTTAATTATTCGCCTATTAAAAATCGGCCGCTCTTCTAAATTAGTAAAGCGGTTTAACTATTCGCCTATTAATAACCGGCTACTTATCTAAATTAATTACTAAAATAGGTTAATCCCCTTCTCCTATCTCCCCTCTTATCTATTATTAATATCGCCATAACAAAGTATATTAGTATTTTTCATTACTTAGCAAAATATATCGGTTATTAAATAAAATTAAAGAAATATATAAATACTTATTAGTAAATTCCCCTTCCCCCCTAAACAACCCCCATCTAATTATTTACTAATTTTTAACTTATATAAATTTGCTTACTTTCTCAATTTCTTATACTATTACTACCTAATATCAATATCCGATATTACTATTATCCTACCCTATAGAATACCTAATTAGTAATATGTAGGCTATCGGGACGAAGTTAGAAGGGCGAGGTCATTAATTTAACCCACCCTATCGGCTCGGATAATATTATTTTAAATCTTTAAAAATAAATTATCAATATAATTTAGGGCTATAGTAATAAGATCAACGATTCCCATCAGAATTACGACTCGCACTCAAAGTTAGACATTCAATCTTTTAATCTTTCAATCTTTCAATTATCCTATTAAATAATTCAATCTTTCAATCTTTCAATCATCCTATCAAATAATTTAGTCTTTTAATTAATTAATCAAACATTTATCTATAATAGAGTTAAATCCCAATTAAAAGCCGCCTCCCAACAATTAAGAGTAGAGTTAAATTCGGCAATACTACAATTATAGTAAAAAAAAGCCAATATTAATATTTATTAGCAAAAATAATCCAAACTTTCTTATAATTACTTATAACATTTACCGTAATAAACATACTCTAATATATCTTCTTTCCCTTTCATTCTTATTTAATCTATTATTTCCCTTTCTATTAACTAATCAATTAACTACTAATATTACCTATTTGACAGTAAATCCTTTAAAATACATAAATCCTATTATAAACTTAATATACCGCATTATTCTACTACTTGCGGGTAAATAATGCCCTCGAAGGTTAAAATCCGAGCCGCAGGGGGTTACGGGTGCAACTTAAATAATATTAACTAATTAATTATTTAGTAATAGGTAGTATTTTAAATAATTAACCTTTTACCTATTTAAAATTAATTTTAACAATATTAAATAGTATTAAACTTGCAATTTACCGCCAATTCTAATACCGCTAATCCCAATACCTCTAATAATCCTACTATCCCTAATCCCACTATTCCTAATCCTACTACCAATAATAAACGAAGTCCCGAAGCCACCTTAATATCATTATTTAAAAATACCCGTACCCGACCTTACAATAGGAGACCCATACTATTAGAAATTATAGAGTATTTTAATAATACCCCCCGGCAATAAATTTAGGAGAATCTGCCCTATTAGTAAATCCAACAACCTATATAGCCTTAATAACCGCAACTACAACTATAACTACAACCTCCGGCATTTTAATATTTAAATCCCTATTAATATTTTAATAGCGAGGATATTAATATCTCTATACAAGAGTTACTCGACTTTGAACGATAGTAGTAATAGTAGTAAAGGGAATTCGGACTTTATATAGTTATACGTCAAGAGTTTAAAACTAGACAACGTTAATTACAATAGCCTCCCCAACCCCCCCCACTATAAATCTAATAATTTTAATATTAATAGATAGTCCAACCCTAATTAATTTAAAAAATTAGTTTAGAACGGCCTATTAATCGTTCGATTCAATCTTTATAACCTTAACTTTAAACCAATACCCAATCTACTACTACCAACACTTCCCGCTTCAAAATTTATATTCCCCAATACCAATCTATTGAATTTAAAGCTAGTATTACTCAATAAAATATTTAATATAAAATAGGTAGATTATATTTATAAATATAATTCCCCAATCTAATATTTAAATATTTACTAATACATTATTTAATAGGATAACGAAGAGACCGCTCGAACCTGCTACGAGAGAAACTAAATCTAATATAATTATCGCCTCCGCAAACGTAATTAGGAATAAAACATTATACCTACTCCCTTAATAGCAATATTAATTACCTAATAATATTCTAATTTAGAATCGAATATTAACGAACTAAAACAATTCACATATTACCGCTATTATATTATACAGCCTATTATAAACCGTAATCTAACTACTAATTTATATTAATTTTATAATAGTAATAACCAATTTACTTACCCAAATTACTATATTATTCGAACTATTATAAACCGCAACCTAACTACGGGCAATTATATTATATATAATAATAATCAGCAATTCATCTATCCTAATTATCGCTTCTCTCAGTATATTAACGAATGTAACCCTATTACTAGCAATTATATACTTTATTAATTATCTACACAATACAACCTTAATTCTTAATATAAAATTTATTTTATTTGTAATAGCGTAGTAAACCGTTTAAATTATATAATTTACAATTTCTTAAAATAAAACTACTATCTATTATATTTAGAAAGACCTAAGGATTATCCAACTACTCCTAATCCTCTAATATAATTTACCGACAATAATAATACTAATACTCAATCCAACAAAGAAATACCCTACTTCTTCTACCCAATATATAAATTAGCACGGCGCCCCATTAATAAAGATCCGATTACTGGATTTTGCATAATATACGTATATACCAGCCCCTATTACAATATCCAAGAAGAAAATAAAATTTATCTCGATTATCTTCAAAATTTCCCCCGCTGTTATTTCTTTAATATATACGATATTAAACGTAATTATTACTAATAATATTGGGCGCTACTTAATAAAAATTAATTTAAAGAGGATAATGATTATTATAATTCCTATCGTTTTATTAATAATTAGGATAATAATAATCCTTTCTAAATTAAACCCCGCTTATAAATACAAAATATTAACCCTCTCAATAATCCTAATAATATATTTAATATTAATAATTTTATTTAAAACTATAGCCTTTTAAAAACCCAATCTCAACCCTAATTCCAGCCTTCCTAACTACAAAGGAAAGGCTAACGTAGTCCCGGACGCCTTAGACCACCCTCGGACTCACAATTAGCCGGGCCTCGATTCCCAAATTTACCCAACATTAAATTTAAACGGGACCCAGTCTTTACTAATAACATAAATACACGAATAATCCCAGATTCCCATTATAAATAACTTCGCAATTACCAGGCTACGCTAAATATAGAGATTATGGAATATTATAACCGTTATAAAGAAAAATAGTTTTAATTAAAGGTTATAATTATTAATAATTAGAATATTTATAATCAGTATCTCCATACTAATGCAAATTTACACCCTAATAAACCTTTTAAATATAATATAGTTAATAATATAGACTTTAGTATTTTTAGCCCTAACAATATTAGAGGTAAATACTATTTTCCCCCTTTCGACCCTATAGAAAAAATACTTATTATACGAATCTATATCTATATTAATAAATTATTTCCTTCTTCAATCCTATTTTAATACTAATATTACTCTAAACATTTATACCTTTAATTAATAATAGCGAAAATATAAAGGTTATTGTATTAACTTCCTTCGTAATGTTTCCTATATCTATATTTAATTATTTAGATTACCGGAAGAAATTAACATTATTTTATTACAACTATATAATTACTAGAATTATTTATAATTTAATAATATATAAAAGGAATTTAAAGTTAATCGCTACAAAGTCGCTATTTGGCTCAACTTCTTAAAAGCCTATTACCCTAAATATTAGAATATCGAGATTATAGAAGAACGTCTCAATACATTACTAAAAGACGGCAATATTATAAATAACGTAATTTATATTAATATAGATAATATTATTATCGAGGAATTTAATGAATTTTAAAAGTAGAAATTTAAAGAGATTTTAACCGAGGCTAATCCTAAAATTAGCGTAGCGCTTAATATTATTAATAGTACACTCAAGGATATTAACCAGTTTAAAGTTTAATTTCGTAGGGACCCTATACCCGACCCGAACTTTCCCCTAATTCGATTTACAAATATACTAAACAATTAATAACCTCTAATACCGCAATTTATAAATTAGTAATTACAACCTATAGGCTAAGAAGAACAACCTATAAGCTAATAATCACAATTTATAGATCCAGTTCTAACTTAGGCCCCGATTTAGGATCCAACCCCCAACAATGCTCTAACCCCCGGCCGGCTACTCCAATATCGTTATTATATTTAATAGGGCCCCCTTCGCAACTAACCTATTAATAAATTTAAATATAACTAAATATTATTATCTTAAGTATTCCCTAGTCTTTACCCCTATAAGCAAGGAGAATATTTTAACCCCCGTATAAAGAAGGTAAATTACGATAAATATATTCAATATATTATACGGTGGTATAACGGCCGTTTTACCCAGTACGAACAATTCCAATATATTACTTTTAATTCTTTAATATATAATTAAATCTATAGTAAAAATTCCTTCTATATTCGTAATATACAATTTAATTTAGAGTTTCTTATTAATACCGATCGATTTAAAGAATAATTTAGGAACTGCTCTAATAAAGCAAGAAAATTGCTTAATTTTATTATTCGACTCTCTAATACTCTTCGTAGTACTTAGTTATATTAGATTAAGAAATCCCGTGAACTATCGTCACATATTAACTTCTTAGGAATATTAATTATATTTATTATATTTAGCGCGGCTAATCTTTATTAAGAAAGTTTAGTAAGATATATACCTGATTATAACCTTTAGTTAACTTTTAACAATAACGATCGATATTATATCTCGAAGCGGAATATTCTTTATAACCCTTATATCGCTATATACTACTTCTTTTAAAGGTTTAAGCTTTTTAAGGAATATATCCTATTTTTAAAATTTAAATTCAATAATTATTAGTAGCGGTTGGAATTTCAGGTTTAAGGAATTAGCTATACCTATAGCGTATATTAGGTAGATAATATCAATATACCTAATTTATCCGATCTACAAATCCGCTAGTAATTCATTAAAATATAGGGTTTACACTTTATTATATAAAATCTAATATTCGAAGGTATTAACCAATTAACTAAAATTCAATTTAGTAAGGATGAAGATCTAGAAGGTCCTCCCCCTAGTACTACTACTACTACTAGTAGTAGTTAAAATCCTAATAGTTAAAATAATACCTTGAATTAATTAATCCCTATTAGCCAGCTTCTAACTAACTATAACGAACGTAACAATATTTTAAATAGAAAGATGGATATTGTAGAACCTATATTCTAAGAGGTTTTAAATATAATTAACCGGATATAAAGATATATTTGTAATAATACTTATTATCTTCAAATATATTATTAGGTCTAAACCTTTCTTAGGGACTGGTAAATCCTAGACTTCGAACTCCTAATGCCCGAATAGAAGGTATACCATTTCTATTTCATTAGGAAACTCTATAAATACCCTCTCTTTACTATACGAATTAACCCTAGATTCTAATTTTTTAACGGCCGAAGAAATAATAGTATTTTCAATTAATATAATCTATTTATTACTCTAGGTTGGATAGTTAATATAGATGTTCAGTTATATACTAGTATAAATATTATATTTAATTACGTTACTAAATACATTTCAAAAGCCGAGAAGAGAATAAGGTCTTACAATAATATTACCACCGAATTAATACCCTAAATAACAGCTAGAAACCTAATCAAACAATTTACAATAAAGTTTATAAACAAACTTATTACTAAACAGGACTAGTCTACTTAAAAAATCTATTATTTACTATTCAACCTTCCTCTATAAGAGAATATACACATAATAATTATAGTAAATTATTACTATTAAAATAACCGAAGTACTATTATCCCCAATCCCGAGGAAAATATATAGCCTAATCTTAGAAGAGCTATACTAAAAACTACTAATAGTAATAATAATAATAATACTGAAGGTATTTATATTAATACTACTAATAAAGTATAATAAACCCAGTTAATTTACTAAAAATATATAAATCAAGAAGAACGCTACTCGTATATTTCGTACTTTAAATTTATTACTACCTTTAGTTATATAAAATTAAAACCTAGGCCTTTATCGGATTATACTAAAAAGAGAATTATTAATTATTTCCCTATATATAAATAAAATAATAAATATAATTAATACAATTTTAAGAGAGTTAAACTTATATTATACTACCCTTATCGAAGGCCCAATAATTCTTATATTATTAATAATATCCAATATAATAACTTCAATAATATATATACAATATGCCTTAAAACTTATATTAATAAATTCTAATACCCCGAAGACTACTATAATAAATTTCCAGATCCTAAACTAGAAGAAGAATTTGAGCCCCCTAATTAAAAAGAAGAAATAGATAAACCTAATTAGGAGGATATTGCAAGAGAAAATCCCAACTACCGTATCGATTCTAATAATAATAATTTTAACAGTAAGGTTTTAGATCGTTATAATATTAATATTAACTACGACTAATATAAGAATTATACTCGGTTCTAAGAATTCTTTCCTCTAATAATAGACTTCTAAAAATCTTATTATAATACTTTCAACCTTCCTAATCCAAAGCCTATCACTTAACGCTTATATAATAACCTTAATACTAAGTAACGTATAATATTTAATCAATTTATTAATTACTACCAAATAGTATTCGATAGTTAGGCTCTAAATTAACTACTTCTTTAAATCGACAATTATAGTAGTATTAGAAAATCCCACCTTATTCGACTACTATCTTACAAACTTACTAAAATAGCTTCTATATATAACCTTTCAACCCTTATTATTCGTATTATTCCTACTAGTATTATTATTAATAATATTAATAGCTATACTATCTACTCCCTTCTACAATTTCCTTTTAACAATAGAAGTTTAGCTAATTTACAAGGTACTAGTCTTACCTATATATAAAATAAGTTTAGGCCGTACAAATATTTCATTATTAATAAAAAGTCTATATTAGGTATAAGAATTATATATTATATTAACGCCTACCTTCGTCAAGCTTTTATTGAAGATTAGAGTAAAAGGTTTGGCGGTACTAATATCCTTCTTCTTAAGAATTTCTTTTAATTAACGCCTATTGAATAAAAGGCTCTATTCTATTAAAAACCCCTTAAATTCGCTAATAATCCTAATACTCTTTTTAAAGCTCTTGGAGAAGATGATAATCCAGATCGGCTTTCTAATAAAACCGAAGAACAAAGAAGAAAGCATTTAGTAAGAAAATTAGACTTTATATAGCGTAGTAATCGTACTTACTACTTTAATTTTAATTGGAACATCGAATTGAAGTAGATTCTTCGGCAATAGGGTATTAAATAAAAAGCCTTCCGCACAGTTTTAGAAGGACTATAAAATAATAACCCTACTATTTAGAATTAGGAGGTATTATCCAACCGTATTAAATTTAAATTATCGATACCCGACTAAGCCAAATTTAATAACGCTTTCCGAATCTACCTAACTAATACTATAATTAATAAATATAACTTTAAGTATTTAAAATAGTTTAAAAACCCAACTTTTACTATTAAGGCTACCAATAACCCCGATAGCGCTAAAGACGTTAAGTATATTAATACTAGTAATTTACACTGCAAATTTACTTATATCAAAGGTAGTAGAATTATATTTACCGAGAATCTATAAATTAAAGCTAGCCTTATTAATAGTTCGATTAATACAATTATTAATATTATATAGGATAGTAATTAATTATATAATATATATTCTAAAACCGGCGACCCCCTTTTCGTTATTATAGTACATTTTAATTACTATAAAAGATCTAATTACTTTAAAAATTTGGATTACCCCAATATTCAAGACCTAGAGCGTACCATACCGATATTCCGATTTATTTGAGACTTTTTAAAAGGGGCTCGCAATTATAAAAGAACCCAATTCCTATTAACTATTATATATACTATTACTATATATAAAGCCTAGGGCTAAATATTAAATAAAATTATTTATAATATTTCGAAGAAAGACTTTACAACCGGGTTATTATATATAACCGTCCCTCATACCCGCACTATTAACAGCATCATATTTAAAAAGAACTTCGATATAAATACCTTGCAATTCAAAAATACCAAAACCTATACCCACCGAACTATAAATATTACTAAACATATACTTAAGTAATTGCAGCTAGGCCACCCTTTACCGCTATATTATATCTATAACCCAGGCCGCCCCCCAATTTCCAATTATATATTCCAACTTCCTCCCAGCCCGGGTAATATTAATAATAATAATAATACTAATAATAGCCGGCCGCTCCGGGGAAGAGCAATATATAATAAACCCTATAATAAATCTAAATTAAAACCTTATAATAAACCGCCCAATAATAGAACTAAATCAAGGACTAGCTTAAGAATTAGTAGTATAGCTCCTTCTAACAGAACTAATTCAAGAGGAAGGCCCCGTAGAAAACCCCGCAAGAGTACTAATACTAGTAATAGACTACTGCAGTTAAAAGGAGGATAGATTAACAAAAATAAAATAAATTAGTAAGAACAATATAAATAAATAATTATTATTATAGTAAATAGATATAAAAATAAATAAATTTTTATAATTTTCAATCTCCCTCTATCTCCTTTTTATTACTTTCTTCAATTACCAACTACCAACCCCCAACGCTACTATATCAATCATCTTTAAAAACGACAATCTTAAACTCGAACAGCACCTTAATAACATATTGAAAGAAGAAGAAAAGCGCCGTAATTTACTCACCCTTAAGCAACAATAAACTTCTACTAATTGGATTGGCACTAAAATATTACTACCAGCCAAAGATAACCTTCTTTACAAAACTACTACTATTAAACAACTTTCTCTCCCTATCCAATTAAAATAATATATTTCCCTTATTATTAATCATAACTTAAATTATTCTAACTCGGGATTTAGGTAACTAAATCTCACTACCGGCTTTAAAAAAAAAAAAAAAGAAAGGAGTTCAACTCAACTTATTCCGTACACCCTAATTGAATACCTTATAGTATACCCTTTTTCAAAGCAACTATCAACAGCACCGAGAGATAGTACGTCTTACAGCGGTCTTATATCTCCTATTCCCCAGAACGGCCCACACACAATCAACACCAAAATTAGAAGATAAGAAGGATCTAAAAGAGGTTAGCAATACAATAACTAAGCGTTTAAAGAGAAAAACGAATCACTAACAAGGAATTAAACGCAAGAGCTCTCTATATACTTACACTAATAGCGGTAGGAGCGTCCTCTATACCGCTATACCACGGGCGTCCCTATAGCACCCCGGAAGGGGGCTAGTAATAGTAGGGTAGTTGGAAGTAGACTATATAGGCTAATTGGAACGTTTTGAGCGTATTTGCTAAATCTAACTGGGTTTATAGGTAAGATAATAGAAAGATTTACGGAAGGGGTCAGATCTAGTAATGTTTTGGCTAGTATTGTACCCCTAAGTATAAATTCGAATTGCCAAGAACCTTCCCGTACTTCCCGTCTTAGTAAATGGATTTGATTGGGTGCATCCCGCTACATGTGGGTCCAGCTGTTTACTCTCTAAATATCTATTAACATGGGCGTTTCTCTATCTTCCTTGGCCACATTTAGGCTCCGGCCAAGGAAACTGTATTTTAAGTATAACGGTTCTTATCTACTGTTATAGTAAATTAATTTTATTTCTCTTATTATTATATTATTCTAATATTAGAATAATAAGAATAATAGGAATAGGATTCCGATTTAAAGCGCCGCCCTCCTTTACCGTTCTTCTGTTTTAATATCTACCGCTCCTTCCTCCGCCCTCTCCCCGCTTCCCCATCCTATCCTCCTATCCGTTTTTTCATTTCCCCGCCTTTTTACCCTATTTACAATTACCTCCGCCCCGGCCCTTTACTTCCTACTTTATAATATTACCTCTATTTATAATAGTATAAGGACCCTCTCTTTCTTTTATATAATCCTCCCTACGGCGCCCCTTCCTAACTCCCTTCCTCCTTCTTCTCTATCGCAACCTCACCCAAGATGGCTTCCTCTAGCCGTCATTCTTACTTATAATAGTAATAAGGATTTTAATTTAAATCCAAGCGAAGTAGAGAATAAAGATAATAAATTCTAAAAGGGAGACTACCTATAGCGAATTAACCCCTATACAGGCTTCTACTAATTTTTTAAAAGTTATTTTTATAATAATTACGAAAAATATTTATATAAATACCTAATAAATTATAATAACCCTATAGAAATATAGTGTATGTATAATCTATTATAATTAATTAAATTAGGTACCTATAGTAAAATAAATATCCTTTTCCTTTTCTAAGTACTTTTATATAGAATTTTAGCTTTTTATAAAACAACTTATTATAGGGTATGCTGTGGCTTTGAGTATATATGCGTGCATCCCGTCATTCTATTCCAGATAGAATTACGGTCCATCTTTTACCTTTTAGTTGAGGCTTAGTGTAACGGTGTTGGCATTGTACGCCTAACCTAGTCTCAGTTCTTAGACCCACTTAACCTCCAAAACCCACCCCACCCTACCCGTTTTTACAGTAGCAAGTCTGAGCGGGTTTTGGGTTTTTTGGCCGTTGGCTGCAGAATAATAACCAACTATTAATATATATAATAAATTTAGTAAA